ATTTTGGGGGATTGGGGATCAGATTGGGGGGGACTGAGGTCTCATTTTGGGGGTCTGGGGTTTCATTCTGGGTCTGGGGTCACCTTTGGGGGGGGTCCAGGTTCATATTTGGGGGTCTGGGGTCACATTTGGGGTCTGGGGTCACATTTGGGGTTAAATCTGGGGCTTTGGGAGTCTCATTTTGGGGGATTTGGGGTCTCCTTTGGGGTCTGGGGTCTCCTTTGGGGTCCCTGAGCGCCCCCTGCCCCTCCCCCAGCTCCACGCCCCCGTGGCTGAGGACAGCGACGAGGAGGCGGAGCCATGACAGGCCACGCCCACCGGAGCCACGCCCCTCCCGTGCCACCAACAGACCCAGCACTGCTGAGGCCACGCCCACAACTGGAGCCACGCCCACCTCATTAACAGAGCTGGCCACACCCACTGGGCGGGGCTTATTTACTCGAGAGTGCCTGAAGCCCCTCCCAGTGTGGGTGGAGCCTGTGGAAGCCACACCCACTTTAATTAAAACACCAAATCTATTCACAGGAGGCTCCACCCACAACAAAGCCTGAATGTGGGTGTGGCCTCACAAAGCCACACCCAGAGTGGGCGGAGCCTCCAAAAGCCACGCCCACAACCACTCCAGAAGTGGGTGTGGCCTGATAAGACCCCGCCCCTTTTATGGTCAATAAAGGATTTGCAGCGCCAGGTGTGGGCGGGGCCAGGTGTTCTTTAATGAGCGGCGCCTGCTAACGAGGGGGCGTGGCCTGGCGGGGCGTGGCCTGCCAGGGGCGTGGCCAGGCATGGTGCAGCCCAAGGGGCGTGGCCCGGCAGGGCGTGGTCCTGCAGGGCGGGGCCTGGCAGGGCGTGTCCGGTGGGCGTGTCCGGTGGGCGTGTCCGGGTGGGCGTGGCCACGGGGTGGGCGTGGCCTCACCACTTGCCGCGCTTGCTCCAGTCCTTGGGGGTGAAGTGCAGGCACTTGGCGTCGATGCGCAGCAGCCGCTTCAGCATGGCGCGCTCGTGGCCCTCCACGATGTCCTCGGAGAGCGTCAGGATGTACTGACCCTGTGCGGGGACGGACAGACGGACAGACGGACAGGTGAGACAGGTGTGCACAGGTGCGTCAGGATGTACTGACCCTGCGGGGACAGACAGACGGACAGGTGTGTCAGGATGTACTGACCCTGTGCGGGGACAGACGGACAGACAGGTGAGAGACAGGTGTGTCAGGATGTACTGACCCTGTGCAGGGACGGACAGACGGACAGGTGAGACTGACAGGTGAGATTGACAGGTGTGTCAGGATGTACTGACCCTGTGCAGGGACGGACAGACGGACAGGTGAGACTGACAGGTGAGATTGACAGGTGTGTCAGGATGTACTGACCCTGTGCAGGGACGGACAGACGGACAGGTGAGACTGACAGGTGAGATTGACAGGTGTGTCAGGCGGACAGACGGACAGGGGGGTCAGGATGTACTGACCCTGTGCGGGGACGGACAGACGGACAGACGGACAGGTGAGACAGGTGTGCACAGGTGCGTCAGGATGTACTGACCCTGCGGGGACAGACAGACGGACAGGTGTGTCAGGATGTACTGACCCTGTGCAGGGACGGACAGACGGACAGGTGAGACAGGTGTGCACAGGTGCATCAGGATGTACTGACCCTGCATGGGGGGGACAGACGGACAGACAGGTGTGTCAGGATGTACTGACCCTGTGCGGGGACAGACGGACAGACAGGTGAGAGACAGGTGTGTCAGGATGTACTGACCCTGCGGGGACGGACAGACGGACAGGTGAGACTGACAGGTGAGATTGACAGGTGTGTCAGGATGTACTGACCCTGTGCAGGGACGGACAGACGGACAGGTGAGACAGGGTGTACTGACCCTGCACAGGGACAGACGGACAGACAGGTGAGACAGGTGAGAGACAGGTGAGACAGGATGTACTGACCCTGCGGGGGGACAGACAGGCAGGTGAGACAGACAGGTGTGTGCAGGTGTGTGCAGGTGTGTGCAGGTGAGACAGGTGTGTACAGATGTGTACAGGTGTGCACAGGTGTGCACAGGTGAGTCAGGGCACACTGACCCCATACAGGTGTGCACAGGTGAGTCAGGATGCACTGACCCCATACAGGTGTGCACAGGTGTGACAGGGTGCACTGACCCCGTACAGGTGTGCACAGGTGAGAGACAAATTTGTGTGTGACACCCAGGTGTCCAAAGGGGGACACAGCGAGGTATTTCATGACCCCCCCCAGGTGTGCGGGGCCCCCCCAGGTGTGCAGAGCCCCCCCAGGTGTGCAGAGCCCCCCAGGTGTGCAGAGCCCCCCAGGTGTGCAGAGCCCCCCAGGTGTGCAGAGCCCCCCAGGTGTGCAGAGCCCCCCAGGTGTGCGGGTCCCCCCAGGTGTGCGGGGCCCCCCCAGGTGTGCAGAGCCCCCCAGGTGTGCAGAGCCCCCCAGGTGTGCGGGGCCCCCCAGGTGTGCGAACAAGCTGCCCACATTGGGTATTGCTCTGTGGTGGGAGGAGCTTTGTGAAGGGGTGGGGCCTCACAGTAAGGGGTGTGGCTTATGAGGAGGTGTGGCTTTGTGAGGGGGCGTGGCCTGGGTGAACTGCCCACATTGGGTATTGCTCTGCATGGGCGGAGCTTTAGGAAGGGGTGGAGCAGAAAGGGGTGGGGGCTCACAGTAAGGGGTGTGGCTTTATGAAGGGGGCGTGGCCTGAACGAGCTCCACCCACATTGGGTATTGCTGTGTGGGCGGAGCTTTAGGAAGGGGTGGAGCAGAAAGGGGTGGAGTTTCCCAATAAGGGATACGGATTTCTGAGGGGGCGTGGTCTCGGGAGTGGGCGTGGCCGCGGGGAGGGGGCGTGGCTCACTTGATGGTGATCTGGGGCCGCTCGCCCGCCTCGGCCTTGAGCCCCATGAGGATCTCCAGGATGGTCTGGGACCAGTAACTGCGGTACGAGAGCAGCCCCAGGTCCGAGAGCGGCTTCTCGGGGGTGCCCGTCTTGCCCTCCACCTTGGAGAGCTCGTAACCTGCACGGGGACACGTGAGGGACAGGTGAGGGACAGGTGAGACAGGTGAGGGACACGTGAGGGACACGGGGACAGGTGGGACAGGTGAGGGACAGGTGAGACACGGGACAGGTGAGACAGGTGAGACACAGGGGACAGGGGACAAGGGACAGGTGAGGGACATGGGAGGGACAGGGGAGGGACAGGGGACACAGGTGAGACACAGGGGACAGGGGAGACACAGGTGAGACACAGGGGACACAGGTGAGACAGGGGACAGGTGAGGACACCTGAAGATTTGGGGGATTCCCAGGGTTTTGAGGTGGGGTTTGGGGGGGGTGTGGCTTTCTCAGGAGGTGTGGCTTTATGAAGGGGCGTGGCCTGAACAAGCTGCCCACATTGGGTATTGCTCTGTGGTGGGAGGAGCTTTGTGAAGGGGTGGGGCCTCACAGTAAGGGGTGTGGCTTTATGAGGAGGTGTGGCTTTGTGAAGGGGTGGAGCCTCACCATAAGGGGTGTGGCTTTCTCAGGAGGTGTGGCTTTATGAAGGGGCGTGGCCTGAACAAGCTGCCCACATTGGGTATTGCTCTGTGGTGGGAGGAGCTTTGTGAAGGGGTGGGGCCTCACAGTAAGGGGTGTGGCTTTATGAGGAGGTGTGGCTTTGTGAAGGGGTGGAGCCTCACCATAAGGGGTGTGGCTTTCTCAGGAGGTGTGGCTTTATGAAGGGGCGTGGCCTGAACAAGCTGCCCACATTGGGTATTGCTCTGTGGTGGGAGGAGCTTTGTGAAGGGGTGGGGCCTCACAGTAAGGGGTGTGGCTTTATGAGGAGGTGTGGCTTTGTGAAGGGGTGGAGCCTCACCATAAGGGGTGTGGCTTTCTCAGGAGGTGTGGCTTTATGAAGGGGCGTGGCCTGAACAAGCTGCCCACATTGGGTATTGCTCTGTGGTGGGAGGAGCTTTGTGAAGGGGTGGGGCCTCACAGTAAGGGGTGTGGCTTATGAGGAGGTGTGGCTTTGTGAGGGGGCGTGGCCTGGGTGAACTGCCCACATTGGGTATTGCTCTGCATGGGCGGAGCTTTAGGAAGGGGTGGAGCAGAAAGGGGTGGGGGCTCACAGTAAGGGGTGTGGCTTTATGAAGGGGGCGTGGCCTGAACGAGCTCCACCCACATTGGGTATTGCTGTGTGGGCGGAGCTTTAGGAAGGGGTGGAGCAGAAAGGGGTGGAGTTTCCCAATAAGGGATACGGATTTCTGAGGGGGCGTGGTCTCGGGAGTGGGCGTGGCCGCGGGGAGGGGGCGTGGCTCACTTGATGGTGATCTGGGGCCGCTCGCCCGCCTCGGCCTTGAGCCCCATGAGGATCTCCAGGATGGTCTGGGACCAGTAACTGCGGTACGAGAGCAGCCCCAGGTCCGAGAGCGGCTTCTCGGGGGTGCCCGTCTTGCCCTCCACCTTGGAGAGCTCGTAACCTGCACGGGGACACGTGGGACACAGGTGAGGGACACGTGAGACAGGTGAGGGACACGGGAGGGACATGTGAGGGACAGGTGAGACAGGTGAGGGACACGGGAGGGACACGTGAGGGACACGGGAGGGACGGGGGACACGTGAGACAGGTGAGGGACAGGTGAGACATGGGACAGGTGAGACACAGGGGACAGGGGAGGAATAGGAGACAGGTGAGGGACAAGGGACACAGGTGAGACACAGGGGACAGGGAAGACAGGAGACAGGTGAGACAGGTGAGGGACACTGGGGAACAGGTGAGGGACACCAGAGAGACAGGTGAGACAGGTGAGGGACGGGGGGGACAAGGGGGGACAGGTGGGATAGGTGAGGGACAGGTGAGGCAGGTGGGACAGGGCTGGGACAGGTGGGGACATGGGGGACAGATGGGGACAGGTGAGGGACAGGGGACAGGTGAGGACACCTGAAGATTTGGGGGATTCCCAGGGTTTTGAGGTGGGGTTTGGGGGTTCCCAGGTTTGGGGTGAGGTTGGGGTGGGATGTGGGGGTTCCCAGGTTTGGGGGTTCCCAGGTTTGGGGGTTCCCAGGTTTGGGGTCAGGTTTGGGGGTTCCCAGGTGGGGGCACTGACTGAACTCGATGAGCAGCTTGCCATAGCCGCGGCGCTGGTACGGGGGCAGGGTCAGGATGCAGGCCACGTTTGGGCTTGGGGAGGGAGGTGGGGGTTCCCAGGTTTGGGGTGGGGTTTGGGGGTTCCCACGTTTGGGGTCAGGTTTGGGGGTTCCCAGGTTTGGGGTGAGTTTGGGGTCAGGTTTGGGGGTTCCCAGGTGGGGGCACTGACTGAACTCGATGAGCAGCTTGCCGTAGCCGCGGCGCTGGTACGGGGGCAGGGTCAGGATGCAGGCCACGTTGTAATCCTCGGTCGACTCCTTCTCCTGCAGGAGACCCCAGGATGGGACCCCAAAATCCCCTGGGACCACCCCAAAATCCCTGGGATTGCACCCAAAAACCCCTGGGATGGAACCCCAAAATCCCCTGGGATTGCACCCAAAACCCTCCAGGATGATCCCACGATCCCAAAAACCTCTGGGACCACCCTAAAATCCCTCCTGGAGCTCCCAAAATCCCTCAGAAATCCCCAAAATTCCTTTTTATCCCCCCCAGACCCCCCCCAACCCCCCTAAATTAGAGACAGGTGAGACAGGTGAGGGACGGGGGGGACAAGGGGGGACAGGTGGGATAGGCGAGGGACAGGTGAGGCAGGTGGGACAGGGCTGGGACAGGTGGGGACATGGGGGACAGATGGGGACAGGTGAGGGACAGGGGACAGGTGAGGACACCTGAAGATTTGGGGGATTCCCAGGGTTTTGAGGTGGGGTTTGGGGGTTCCCAGGTTTGGGGTGAGGTTGGGGTGGGATGTGGGGGTTCCCAGGTTTGGGGGTTCCCAGGTTTGGGGGTTCCCAGGTTTGGGGTCAGGTTTGGGGGTTCCCAGGTGGGGGCACTGACTGAACTCGATGAGCAGCTTGCCATAGCCGCGGCGCTGGTACGGGGGCAGGGTCAGGATGCAGGCCACGTTGTAATCCTCGGTCGACTCCTTCTCCTGCAGGAGACCCCAGGATGGGACCCCAAAATCCCCTGGGACCACCCCAAAATCCCTGGGATGGAACCCCAAAAACCCCTGGGACCACCCAAAAAAAACCCTGGGATTGCACCCAAAAATCCCCCAGGAATGGGACCCCAAAAACCCCTGGGATGGAACCCCAAAATCCCCTGGGATTGCACCCAAAACCCTCCAGGATGATCCCACGATCCCAAAAACCTCTGGGACCACCCTAAAATCCCTCCTGGAGCTCCCAAAATCCCTCAGAAATCCCCAAAATTCCTTTTTATCCCCCCCAGACCCCCCCCAACCCCCCTAAATTCCCAAAATCCCTGGGATGGAACCCCAAAAACCCCTGGGACCACCCAAAAAAAACCCTGGGATTGCACCCAAAAATCCCCCAGGAATGGGACCCCAAAAACCCCTGGGATGGAACCCCAAAATCCCCTGGAACCACCCCAAAAACTCCTGGGACCACCCAAAAATCCCTGGGATTGCACCCAAAAATCCCCCAGGAATGGGACCCCAAAAACCCCTGGGATGGAACCCCAAAATCCCCTGGAACCACCCCAAAAACTCCTGGGACCACCCAAAAATCCCTGGGATTGCACCCAAAAATCCCCCAGGAATGGGACCCCAAAAACCCCTGGGATGGAACCCCAAAACCCCCTGGGATTGCACCCAAAAGCCCCCAGACCCCCCGAGCCCCCCACCTTGGAGAAGTAGCCCACGATGTGGAAGCCTTTGCAGTCGTACTCGGTCATGACGTAGAAGAGGAAGGGGTCGGTGTCGTAGTAAAGGGTCTTGTGGTCCAGGAAACACTTGGCCAGGAGGCACAGGTTCTGGGAGTAGCTCTGGGGAGGGGTCCCGGGGGGGTCAGCGGGGTGCAGGATGGGGGGGAGCCCCCCAGGACCGCCCCCCAGGACCCCCAGAGCCCCCTGACCTTGTTCTTGCGGCCGTCGATCTCGAAGAAGGAGATGGTGCCCTTGCGGTAGATCTCGTTGCCAGGGGGGTGCCGCAGGTCACACTTGGTCTGGGGGGGTTTTTTGGGGGGGTTTTGGGGGGGGGGGTTTCTCCTTGCCTACCCCCTCTGCAGGGGGGGGACCCCACTCCCCCCCTAAAACTCCCCAAATCCCCCCAAACCCCCCAGGGGGTTACCAGGTGCCGCTGCAGGCAGCGCAGGCTGTGGCCGTACTTGAGGCAGAACTCGCACAGGTAGAGCACGGGCAGCCCCGTCAGCTGAATCCCTTCAAAGGGATTCAAAGCCCCCTAAAACCCCCCTAAAACTCCCCCAAATCCCTTTAAAGCCCCCTAAAAAACCCCCCCTCCCCCTGATTCCCCCCCAGGGGGTTACCAGGTGCCGCTGCAGGCAGCGCAGGCTGTGGCCGTACTTGAGGCAGAACTCGCACAGGTAGAGCACGGGCAGCCCCGTCAGCTGAATCCCTTCAAAGGGATTCAAAGCCCCCTAAAACCCCCCTAAAACTCCCCCAAATCCCTTTAAAGCCCCCTAAAACTCCCCAAACCCCCCCAGGGGGTTACCAGGTGCCGCTGCAGGCAGCGCAGGCTGTGGCCGTACTTGAGGCAGAACTCGCACAGGTAGAGCACGGGCAGCCCCGTCAGCTCCTGCGGGTACGGCGAGAAGTACCAGGGCTTGAGGCGGTGCCGGCCCAGCTCGATGCACTCGATGTTCTTCATGCGCGTCACGATGTCGTCGTGGCTGCGGTCCGACACCAGGCTGCCCGTCATGCGCGGCGCCGACGGGGCCCCGTCCGACGAGTCCTGAGAGTCCTGGGGCCGGGACACGGGGACAGTGGGGTCAGCAGGGGGACAGAGGGGACACAGGGGTCAGTGGGGACAGAGGGGACAGGGGTCAGGGGGGACAGGGGTCAGTGGGGGGACAGAGTACAGAGTCAGGGTGGGGTCAGGGAGGGGACAGAGGGGTCAGTGGGGTCAGCGTGGGGCAGCGGGGTCAGGGTGGGGACAGGGCTGGGGACACAGCCAGCCCCAGGTCCAGGGAGGTCCCTGCCCCTGGCTTGGTTTTTCCCATTTTCAGGTAATTTTTGTCTGTTCCTTTGTTTTTAGCCATTTCCAGCTGATTTTTTCCCCTGCCCTGCCTCAGTTTCTCTGACTCCAGGTGTCTTTCACATTTCCCCCATTTCAATTTACTTTTCCCCATCCCTGCCTCATTTTCCTCATTTCCAGGTGATTTTCTCCCTCTGCCTCAGTTTCCCAAGGTTAAATCTCATTCAAACGCCATTTTTTGGCTGTTTTTTCCACTTTCCTGCCTCCTTTTCCTCCTTTCCAGGCGATTTTCCTCTCCCGTGCCTCAGTTTCCCCAGCCCCGGATCCCATTTCCCTCCTCCCCTCCCCCTCGCAGCCGCCGGGGCGGGGCAGCCCCTCCCCCCCAGGTGTCCCCCGAGGTGTCCCCAGGTGTCCCCGGGTGTCCCCCGAGGTGTCCCCAGGTGTTCCCAGGTGTCCCCACCTCGTCTGTCCCCAGGCACGCTGATTTCCTCTTCCGGCCGGGCTGCGCCGCCACCGCCCGGCGCGCGGAGCCGTTCTGGGGGGAGAGGGGGGTCAGCGCCTGGAACCCCCAGAATCACCCCCGAATCACCCCTAAACTGCCCCAAAAACCCAAAATCACCCCAAAAAACCCCAAAACGCCCCAAAACGCCCCGAAATCACCCCGAAATCACCCCAAATTCACCTCTAAACTGCCCCAAAAACACAAAATCACCCCAAAAAACCCCAAATCGCCCCAAAACGCCCTGAAATCACCCCGAAATCACCCCCAAATCACCCATAATCACCCCAAAACGCCCTGAAATCACCCAAAATCACCCCCAAATCACATCAAAACACCCCGAAATCACCCCAAAACTGCCCCAAATCACATCAAAACACCCAAAAATCACCCCAAAATACCCCCAAATCAACCCAAAACTGCCCCAAATACCCCCCAAACAATCCCAGACACCCCAAATCCCCCAGAATGCCCCAGATTTGGGGATCCCCCAGTGGGTCTGGGGACCGCGGGGGGGGGGGGGGGGGGGGGTTACTGGTGTGACTGGTGTGTGACTGGTGTGTTACTGGTGCGTTATTGGTGTGTTACTGGTGTGCAACTAGGTCTTACTGGTGTTACTGGTGTGTGACTGGTGTATTACTGGTCAGTTACTGGTGTGTTACTGGCCCATACTGGTGTGTTATTGATTGGTTACTGGTGTGTTGTCGGTCGGTTACTGGTGTTACTGGTCAGTTACTGGTGTATTACTGGTGCATACTGGTGTTACTGGTGCATACTGGGCTCACCTGGGGGAACACGGAGGCCTGCGAGGTCTCGGTGGGGGCGGGGACGGGCGTGGCCGGGGACACCACCTCCACCTTGCGCTTCTGGGACCAGTTCACACCAGTTCAGACCAGTTCAGTTCATCCCGGTGCATCCCAGTCCCTCCCAGTCTATCCCAGTCCGTCCCAGTCCCTCCAGTCCCTCCCAGTCCATCCCCGTCCCTCCCAGTCCATCCCCGTCCCTCCCAGTCCATCCCCGTCCCTCCCAGTCCATCCCCGTCCCTCCCAGTCCATCCCCGTCCCTCCCAGTCCATCCCCGTCCCTCCCAGTCCATCCCAGTCCCTCCCAGTGTTCCCAGTATGCCCGGGGAAGGGGAGGCTCAGGGGACACCCGGCTGTGGGGACAGGGACGGGGACAGCGAGGGCACCCCTTGGGGACAGGGACGGGGAATGGGACGGGGACACCCTGGGGACACCACGGGTGACAAAACCGGGACCTCCCAGGGACCATTTCTGGGGCCACTTTTGGGGCCAGATGGGGACACTGGGGACACCAGGGACCCTGGGGACATTAGGGGATATTGGGGACACTGGGGACCTTGGGGCCATTGGGGACACGGGACACTGGGGACCCTGGGGACTTTTGGGACACTTGGGGCCATTTGGGGACATCGGGGACCCTGGGGACATTTGGGATATTTGGGGACATTAGGGGATATTGAGGCCATTTGGGGACACTGTGGACCTGGAGCCATTGGGGACCCTAGGGACCCTGGGGACATTAGGGGATATTGGGGACACTAGGGACACCAGGAACACTGGGGACACTGGGGACATCGGGGACATTTGGAGCTGTCAGGAACCCTGGGGACATTGGGGCCATTGGGGACCCTGGGGACATTTGGGAAATCGGGGACCCTGGGGACATTGGGGAGCTTGGGGACATTGGGGACCCTGGGGACATTGGGGCCCTCAGGGACAATGATGCTACTGGGGACCCTGAGGCCATGTGGTGACACCTGGGGACCCTGGGGACATCTGGGGCCATTGGGGATCCTGAGGACATTTGGGACATCGGGGACCCTGGGGACGCCGGGGCCACCGGGGGTTACCGTGGGGCGCTGGGGGGGCTCGGCCTCGCTCTCCTTGGGCAGCTGCAGGCGGAGCGTGATGGGCCCCGGCCCTGGTGGCCCCGCTGGTGGCCCCGCTGGTGGCCCCGCTGGTGGCCCTGGTGGCCCCGCTGGTGGCCCTGCTGGTGGCCCTGGCAAACTCTTCCCGCTGGCGGGGGCCACCGGCAGCGCCAGCTCCAGGCTCTTCCTCTGCGCCGGGAGGAAGAGGAGGGTTTAGGGGGACACGCAGGGGACACGCAGGGGACAAAGCCACCGCGGGCTCGGGGACCCTCCCGGCACCCCCCGGGTCCCCTCCCTGGGGACAGCCCGGGGTGGCCCCAAGGGCTCCTAAAGGGGGCGGGGGTGGCCTTGAGGGGACAGGGGTGTCCCCAAGGGGAGAGGGGTGTCCCCAGGGTCCCCTTAGAGGGGTCAGGGGTGTCCCCAAGGGGTCAGGGGTGTCCCCAGGGTCCCCTTAAAGGGGACAGGGGTGTCCCCAAGGGGTCAGGGATGTCCCCAGGATCCCCTTAGAGGGGCTGGGAATGTCCCCAAGGGGGCAGAGGTGTCCCCAAAGGGACAGGGGTGTCCCTAAGGTCCCCTTAGAGGGGTCAGAGGTGTCATCAAGGGGTCAGGGGTGTCCCCAAGGTCCCCTTAGAGGGGTCAGAGATGTCATCAAGGGATCAGGGGTGTCCCCAGGATCCCCTTAGAGGGGCTGGGAATGTCCCCAAGGGGACAGGAGTGTCCCCAAGGTCCCCTTAAAGGGGTCAGGGATGTTCCCAGGGTCCTTTTAGAGGGGTCAGTGGTGTCCCCAAGGAGGCAGGGGTGTCCCCAAGGTCCCCTTAAAGGGGTCAGGGATGTCCCCAGGGTCCCTTTAGAGGAGTCAGGGGTGTCCCCAGGGTCCCCTTAGAGGGGACAGGGCTGTCTCCAAGGTCCCTTAAAGGGGTCATAAATGTCCCCAGGGTCCCCTTAGAGGGGTTGGGGATGTCCCCATGGGGTCAGAGATGTCCCCAGCGTCCCCAGGAAGGGGCCGGGAATGTCCCCAAGGTCCCTTAAAAGGATCAGAAATGTCCCCAGGGTCCCCTAAAGGGGCTGGGGATGTCCCAAGGGTCCGGGGTGGCCCGAGGGGCTGGGGATGTCCCCAAAGTCCTCTAAAGGAGTTGCAGGTGTCCCCAAGGTCCCTTAAAAGGATCAGAAATGTCCCCAGGGTCCCCTAAAGGGGCTGGGGATGTCCCCAAGGGTCCAGGGTGGCCCTTGGGGATGTCACCACCCCCCAGGGGGTGTCCCCAGGGGATGTCCCTGCCGTGGGGGGTGAGTGTCACCCCACGACGGGGTTTGGGGACTCCAGCTCTGTCCCCAACGGCTCCGAGTGTCCCCTGTCCCTGTTCCCAGTGTCCCCCCACTGTGTTCCTGTGTCCCCCTCCATGTCCCCAAGTGTCCCCCTGTCCCCCACTGTAACCCCATGTCCTCGTGTCCCCCCACCGTGTCCCCCTGTCCCTGTGTCCCCATGTCCCCTCGTGTCCCTCACCATATCCCCATGTCCTTCACTGTGTCCCTGTCCCTCCCATGTCCCCGTGTCCCCTGTCCCCCTGGTGTCCCCCAGTCCCCCCCTGTCCCCTGTCCCTCACCCTGTCCTGTGTCCCCTGTCCCCGGTGTCCCCGGTGTCCCTCACCGTGTCCCTGTCGGGGGAGCCGGGCCGCGAGCCGGGCAGGCCGTTCCTGTGTCCCCTGGTGTCCCCTCACCGTGTCCCTGTCCCTGTCCTGTGTCCCCTGTCCCCTGTTCCCCCCGGTGTCCCTCACCGTGTCCCTGTCGGGGGAGCCGGGCCGCGAGCCGGGCAGGCCGTTCTTGGTGGGGGTCTTGGCCTCCTTGCGGGGCACCTGCACCCGCTTCAGGTCCAGCCGGTCGTGGGTCACCCACTCGTCCAGGCGCTTGTTGACTGGGGACAGGGACACGCGGTGACAACGTGCCACCCCCAGGGCCACCCCAGCCTTGGGGACAGCGTGTCCGTGTGTCCCATGTCCCTGTGTGTCCCCGTGTCCCCTGTCTGTCCCCTCTGCCCCCCCCAGTGTCACTCACAGTCGATGTAGTGCACGTAGAACAGCTTCCTCCCACTGATGTCCTTCACGCGTGTCCCCATGTCCCTGTGTGTCCCCTGTCTGTCCCCATCCCCGGGGACCCCAAATCCCACCCAGGGACCCCCAAATCCCACCCAGGGATCCCAAAACTACCACAGAAATCCTAAAACCCATCCAGGAACCCCCAAAACCCACCCAGGGACCCCAAACTCACCCAGGGACCCCCAAACCCACCCAGGGACCCCCAACACCCCCCCAGGGATCCCCAAACCCACCCAGAGACCCCCAAAGCCCCCACAGGGATCCCCAAAACAGCCCCAGGGACGCCTTCCCGCCGCCCCCGCAGCCCCGCCCCCGCGCCCTGATTGGCCCCCGCGCGCTAAGCCCCGCCCCACTCACGCCACTCATCCTCGTTGTCCTGGTTACGGCGCAGCACGGGCAGGCGGCAGCCCTCGGACACCTCCCCCTGCGGGGGCGGGGCCTCGTCAGGGCCGGGGGGGCCCCAAAACCCCCGCGGGGGGTTCGGGGGGTCCCCGAACCCTTCCGGAGGCTCCCGGAAGCCCTCGGGAGGCTCCCCGAGCCCTCTCCGCGCCGTTCCCCCCCGCCCGCTGCCCACCTCCGCCATTCTCCTCCCGGCCTCCGCTTCCGGCCGGCCCGACGCGCTTCCGGCACGCGGGCACGCCCCTTCCTCCTCGGCCCCGCCTCCGGTTGGCGGGAGCGGCAGAAAGGGGGCGGGGCCTTCCCGGCAGCCGCGTCACGTGGGGCGCGGCGCTTCCGCGAGCGGCGGCGCGAGCGCGGCCCCTCCCCCGCCCTTCCCTCGCCCCCGCATCCCCGGGGAGCACAGCAGCGAGAGCACCCGGACCCACCCCACCATCCGCGTGAGTGCCCCAGTACGGACCAGTATAGACCAGTATAGACCAGTATAGACCAGTAACAACCCTGAGCCCCCCAAGCTCCTTCTCACCCCCTGTGTGAGCGTCCCAGTGCATCCCAGTATAGACCAGTACACCCCAGTAACAGCCTGGGACCCCTCCAGTGCCCCTATCCCTGGGGTGGGGGGGGTCAGCAGCCGCCTCCCCCAGACCCCCATGGGCAGACCAGTGCAAACCAGTTTAAACCAGTCCAAACCAGTGCAAACCAGTCCAAATCAATGTAAACCACTCCAAACCAGTGCAGACCAGTCCAAACCAGTGCAAACCAGTCCAAATCAATGTAAACCAGTCCAAACCAGTTTAAACCAGTCCAAACCAGTGCAAACCAGTCCAAATCAATGTAAACCACTCCAAACCAGTGCAGACCAGTCCAAACCAGTGCAAACCAGTCCAAATCAATGTAAACCAGTCCAAACCAGTTTAAACCAGTCCAAACCAGTGCAAACCAGTCCAAATCAATGTAAACCAATCCAAACCAGTGCAAACCAGTCCAAATCAGTGCAAACCAGTCCAGACCAGTCCAAACCAGTGCAGACCAGTCCAAACCAGTCCAGACCAGTGCAGACCACTCCAAACCAGTCCAAACCAGTGCAGACCAGTCCAAACCAGTCCAAACCAGTGCAAACCACTCCAAACCAGCGCAGACCACTCCAAACCAGTCCAAACCAGTCCAGACCAGTGCAAACCAGTGCAGACCAGTCCAAACCAGTGTGTCCCCGCAGGTGAACAACTACCGGGGCCCGGGGCGGGTGCGGGTGTCGCTGGTGACCAAGGACCCCCCGCACCGCCCCCACCCCCACGAGCTGGTGGGCAAGGACTGCCGGGACGGCTTCTACGAGGCCGAGCTGAGCCCCGAGCGCAGCGTGCACAGGTGGGACCCCCCCAATCGGGGACACCCCCGAATCGGGGAGACCCCCCCCAAAATCCGGGATAACCCCCGAATCGGGGAGACCCCCCCCCAAAATCCGGGATAACCCCCGAATCGGGGACACCCCCCAAAACCCGGGACCACCCCCCAAAACCCGGGACCCCCCTCAAATCTGGGACACACCCCAAATCCGGGACACACCCCCCGAATTGGGGAGACCCCCGAATTGGGGATACCCCCCCAAATCGGGGACACCCCCCCCAAAACCCGGGAGCCCCCTCAAATCTGGGACACACCCCCCGAATTGGGGATACCCCCCCCAAAATCCGGGACACACCCCAAATCTGGGACCACCCCAAATCGGGGATACCCCACAAATCTGGGACCCCCCCAAAATCTGGGACACTCCTCCTAAAATACAAAAAAATCCTAAAAAAAAAATCAATAAACCCCCAAATCTGGGATACTCCACAAATCCAGGACCACCCCCCCAAAACTGGGACCCACCCCAAATCAGGGACCCCCCTCAAATCAGGGACACACCCCAAAATCCGGGACACACCCCAAAATCCGGGACCCCCCCTCAAATCAGGGACCCCCCCTCAAATCAGGGACACACCCCCGAATCTGAGATATCCCCCCCCCTCCCAAATCCGGGACACCCCCTGAATTGGGGACACCCCCTCCCAAATCTGGGGACCCCCCCCCAAATTGGGGACATTCCCCCCAAGTCCGGGACATCCCCAAATCCAGGACCCCGCCTAAGTCCGGGACCACCCCCAAATTTGGGACACCCCCCCAAATCTGAAACATCCCCCAAATCCGGGACCCACCCAAATCCGGGAGACCCCCAAATCCGGGACACCCCCCCCCCCCCCCAAACCCGCGACCCCC